TGATGCTGAAGTTTGGCTGATGTTGAAGCTAAAAAATCTGATTGGCTAAATTTTGCAGATCACTCTAACCCTAACCAGTCAGATTTTTTAGCTTCAATATCAGCCAAACTTCAGTATCAGCCGTCACATATATTTGTATAACAATTTGATTATATATACATATTCATATACCAATTTGATTTCTAGTAATTAATACACTATATTACATAGAATTATATGTCGTATTCAAATATTTTTGTGTTAGATAGTATTATACATAATTATATCGACCAAGTGTATAACATAATTTGATTATATATTGACATAAAATCATATCTAACCTTAACAACTATATTATTATTATAAAAAACTTTTGATTCTTGATAATTTCTAATGAAAGCCTAATCTTAATATATAGCAACTTTCATATAAAATTTTCATGATCAATTATAAGGGCTCTAAATCTTAACCAAAACTATGTATTAGAGAAGCCAAGAGTTAATAAAATATAGTCAAATCTTATTACTAATTGCAAAATATCAACCTTAATTATTTACCAATATATAAATTTAGGCATTATACACATACGTGTATACATATTACAAAGATAAATATTATATACAATTACTACAACTCCTAATAAGTATCCTAATTTACTAGGTTAACAATAATGATATTATACAAAGTATAGCTAGCTATTTATTAAACATAACAAAATATACTTGCTATAAAGTTATATACCAGAATACTGACTCAAATTATTATAAAGATTGAATGATTTGTATTTATTAATATTTTTCACATGAGCAGATAATTATTAATCTATTCAAAGCAATAATTATTTTAAGCATCTAATTCTGAATTACTAGAGCTTGCTCATTCACTTTTATCACTAGTAGCCTGATCTAATTTATTTGCTTCTATAGAATCACTATTATGTTATTTTTTTCTATGACTATGTCTACCACAAAATTCACAAATAATTGATGAATCGTAAACCTTATTTTTATGTTTGAGATGCTATTAGTGATTATGATCTTTACTATCACATTTGCCACATGTATTGATTCTTGAACTACATGCTGTTTTAGATCACTTCTCTCAGTTCTTTAGTTGTTAGCTTTCTAAAGATAATTGATAGCATGCTATTTTCAGTAGACAGCCCCTTTTAGTTTTTTTTATAGGATTGGAAACTTTAATAGACAGATCCTTAAAGATGATATTTGATTCAGAATATTCCTTAGATATATTTGTCTTTTGGCTAAAGAAAGACGTACTGGCTGTATTCTCAATGAGCAAATGTTTATTTTAAACAATATATTCCTTTAAAAACTTAAGAATGTATGAATTGTCCTTTTCAATAGCAATATTAATTGCTTTGCGTGCAATTCTGATAATCTCTGCATAAGCCTTTTTCTTTTGCATTGATTTTTTAGCAGCAGGTGATAAGTGTATCTTACTAGATATTTTACCTGTTGCTGAAAATAAATATATTAAATCATTTGTCTGTAATATAGTGGTTGGAATTAATAATTCTTTCATTGGTTTGGATAAAAAAACTATTGATAAGCCGACAAGAGGTTGTGCACCAAGGTCTTTATCTTGAAATTCATCATATAACTAGCAACTTGCTACAAAATTAATAGAAAATTTTGCAGTAAGAGAATATACCATAATATGAAAAAAATGTCTGCAAGGATATCCATGATTAATTAATAGTATACAACTACATATAAATAACCCATCTTTGAGTAAAAATATATGTAGTTTAGAATGCTTCTAGGTCATGTAAATGACTTCCCAAATTTCAACTATTTTTTTCTCTGATTGTTTAAAAAAAGAAAAAGAATAAGCCAAAGGATAGTCGAATACATCGTCAACAAACATCATATCATCATCTTGAATCTATAATTAGGAAAAAAAATTAAATGAGTTTCATTAACCTAATAATTTACTGAAAAACTCATTTACTAAAACTATTCTATCAGCAATTGTGCTGTTCTATTATAATAGTCACTAGTAAAATGAACTTGTCAATGAATCGTTTGTAGTTAAACAAATAAATTGCTATCAAATATATAATACTAATATAAAGTAGCAAATAATTATTTTACCTCGTATAAATGCAAAGACTCAGAACTAATTTTGGACAAGTGATAAAATAGACTATGATTGATTTCATAACAAATTTTTTTAATTATGTTGGATGCAACAAAGGTTTTAAGAATAGCATTAATATTCATATACATAGTATTACAAATATTTGGAGGTTTAATATTTGGATTCGATGATTTCTAGCTAATAAAGTCATAGTAATAATCTTGACTAGCTATCAAAAAATCAAGAGAATTAAATAAATCACATAGTATTATATGTCTATGATGTGTAATAGCTTTAATATGAGAGTTAGGATTCTCAAAATCGAATCGAATCGAATCGAATTGAATATTAATCGAATCGAATAAATTCTCAATTTGAATTTGATTTGATCAAATCGAATCAAATCAAATTAAATAATATTCAAATATTATTAAAAATTTTAAAATTTCGTCACTTTTCAAAAATCTTAATTTATGTAAAATTTTATTAAGCTAATTGATTTTGTGTATTAAGTAAAAAATATTTTTCTAATTAAAATATTCTAGTCAATTAGAATGAAAATAGCAGTTATCTTAATAAAATTTTGCATAAATTACTATTAAATTTATAGTTTTAATTCGAATTAATTCAAATATTCAAATATTTGTCAAATCAAATCAAATATTTTGTTAATTTGATTTGATCGAATTGAATAAATCTATGATTTGAATTTGATTTGATTTGAATATTTGATCAAATTAAATCAAATCAAATTGAATTGCGGAACCCTAATGAGAGTTAATTGATTCTACACAACTAGTTGCCTGTGTATCAGCAGTAAAGTGACAGAAGGTATATGCTCTCGCCTAAGAATATCTATCAGAATATAAAGTTCTATTAAGGTATTGTGCTGCTTTTAGATAATGCTTCA